ACGTACGTACGTACGTACGTACGTACGTACGTACGTACGTACGTACGTACGTACGTACGTACGTACGTACGTACGTACGTAACGTACGTACGTAACGTACGTAACGTAACGTACGTAACGTAACGTAACGTAACGTAACGTAACGTAACGTAACGTAACGTAACGTACGTAACGTACGTAGTACGTACGTAGTACGTACGTACGTACGTACGTACTAAGTAAGTAGTAGTATATATATATATATATATATATATATATATATATATATAAATATCCCACATAGAAGTATTTCACAACAGGGGCGTCATAAACCAGAACACTATTTGTTTTTAAACTAGTGAATAGTCTACATTCATTTCAAAATTGATTGTAAAAGTGTAATTACACGCTAATAACACATTTGCACATTCATCAATTAAATCATGATAAATTTCACATTTAATCAATTGTGCACTTGTAGATTATTATGTTAATATTATACGTACATTAAAAATAACAAAAGCTACCCCCAATTGAATTGGAATTGTATGTGAGTTTGAAGAATAATTAAGATGATTAAACTTTTAATATTTGGTATGAAGTTTATTATTACTTTTATTTAATGCTTTTCATATGTTCACTTGTTGATTACATCTCTGAATTGTTTTACTTTTAAAAAGGTAGTAAATAAGGGTTTTAATCAATTAAATCATTATAAATAATGTGCAAATCCTATTGTAATGTATTTGTCGATGTTGTTGTTATAATAATGTATTGCATTATTTGCAGTATTTTCTGTAATTAAAAATACATTTGACCAAATAATTCAAAATTACATACATAGATGAGTTAATTTTCTAAAAAAAGATACTGTCTGCATAACATGATTCCTCCTCCTCCTCCCATGAACATATTACTTGAAGGGGAACTTGAAAGTCTGGTTGGGCCCATAGATTGTATAAAGGTTGGGCCATACAATCCAGCTGTGGAATCAAGCTCGAGAATATTTTTTAAAAAATACAAGCAGGACACAAGCGGCATTACTTTCAAAATAAAAGCACAAATGTTCAAAAACAAGTTTAACAACATTGCCTTTATATAGACATTTATAATATCGATTGGGAGAATATAGAAATTATGCGTAATGTGTCTGATTGTGTTAATTGTGTTTTACCATTATTTAAAAAAAAAAAATGAATGCAATATCAATGTCATCCATTTCTAATGAGTATGAGGACTCAATATTTACTGCATAGTAGAAATATTATATGTATTTGGTTGATGAATGCAATATGAAAACATAATAATTATAACAACATTAATAATAACAAAAATATCAATGAGAAGAGTAAACAAATGGTATTATTTATTGTCTATAAGCATTATTTGTGCTTTGCTGATACATTTATTAACATTGAACAAGTCTTGTTCGTCTTACAGCTGCTTACCCAGAAGCCTTTTAACTTGTTGTAGCACCTAACGTATTTACAATGTTGTTTTTAAACTATTCTGCATCTCTTTTATGCATGGTTTTAATGAATCTGTCATTCCATTATGTTTATTTATTGTGTTCCTCTCTGTTGTCTTATTATTGTGTTAATGATGATGTAAAGCACATTGAATTGACTCTGTATCTTAAAGTGTGCTATAGGCCTATACATAAACGTAGGCTACCTTACCTAAAGGATTTTATTTTTGAAAGTTTTCACCGGAGGTTATGTTGCTTAGTATGGCTGCCTTGATGGATTGATCGGAGTTGTGGGAAAGAAAAAAGTAAGCCAACAGTGTTAAAAGCGGAGAGTGGGCACTCGGAGAGCAGCGTACAGGTCTATGCCGCAGAGTTTTCACTTGTGTAAGTTAAAGAACTGCTTGCAGAATTTATGGTAGGACACTAAACCAATTCACGTCCAGTTAATCCGGTTATAAAATGTTTTATACTTTTTCGAAGATGTTTTTTTGCAAGACCTGGGCTGTTCCACTCCTGCTGCCTCTGCTGTTATCAGCCCAGTATCAAGGGGACCACGGAATAGTCGTCCCGGAGCACGGATTTTGTCAGCCGATTTCCATACCTCTGTGCACGGACATTGCCTATAACCAAACCATCATGCCAAATCTCGTGGGACATTACAACCAGGAGGACGCAGGGCTCGAGGTTCACCAGTTTTACCCTCTGGTGAAGGTACAGTGTTCGCCGGAGCTGAAATTCTTCCTCTGCTCCATGTATGCGCCTGTGTGCACAGTTTTGGAGAAGGCCATTCCCCCCTGCAGGTCAATTTGCGAGAGAGCCAAGCAGGGCTGCGAGGCTCTCATGAACAAGTTTGGCTTCCAGTGGCCCGAGCGCCTGCGCTGCGAAAACTTCCCCGTGCTGGGAGACGGACAGATCTGTGTGGGCCAAAACGATTCCTCCCACGCCACCCTACCACCCCCAACTCCTGTCTCGGGGACCCACGACCACACCATGGCCCCCAGACATGACAGGCCTTTTCGTTGCCCATCTGTTCTCAAAGTACCACCATATTTGAATTATAAGTTTTTAGATGAGATTGACTGTGCAGCTCCCTGTGACCCCTCAAGGAGCGGTGGGTACATGTTTTTCACTGACAAAGAAATCAATTTCTCCCGCATATGGATTCTGGTCTGGTCTGTGCTTTGTTGTGCATCTACTTTATTTACAGTTACCACCTATTTAGTGGACATGCAACGCTTCAGATACCCTGAGCGACCGATCATCTTCCTGTCTGGCTGCTACACTATGGTCTCCATAGCCTACATAGCTGGATACTTCCTAGGAGACAAAGTGGTGTGCAATGACAGCTTCACCCCAGAAGGCTATAAAACTATTGTCCAAGGCACCAAAAAGGAAGGTTGCACCATCCTCTTCATGATGCTCTACTTCTTCAGCATGGCCAGCTCCATCTGGTGGGTTATCCTGTCTCTCACCTGGTTCCTGGCAGCAGGTATGAAGTGGGGCCACGAGGCTATTGAGGCCAACTCTCAGTATTTTCACCTGGCAGCCTGGGCAGTGCCGGCCGTCAAGACTATCAGCATCCTGGCCATCGGGCAGATCGAGGGCGACGTGCTCAGTGGGGTCTGCTTCGTTAGTCTCAGCAGCCTGGACCCTCTACGAGGCTTTGTGTTGGCCCCTCTCTTCATTTATCTCTTCATCGGTACCTCTTTCCTGCTTGCTGGCTTTGTGTCTCTGTTCAGGATCCGCACCATCATGAAACACGATGGCACCAAGACAGAGAAGCTGGAGCGACTGATGGTGAGGATTGGGGTGTTCAGCGTTCTCTACACCGTGCCCGCCACCATTGTTATCGCCTGCGTCTTCTACGAGCAGGCCTTCCGCTCCCACTGGGAGAGGAACTGGGTCAGCCATAACTGCAGGGGCCTGGCCATCCCCTGCCCCAAGCAGACCGGGCCCCGCATGACTCCAGACTTTACCGTCTACATGATCAAGTACCTGATGACTCTGATAGTGGGCATCACCTCTGGTTTCTGGATCTGGTCTGGAAAAACTCTACAGTCCTGGCATAAGTTTTACACCAGGCTGACAAATGGCAAACACGGAGAGACCACTGTGTAGAATAATGGGACATCTAAATGTTGCTGGGACTAAGTTGTGTATTATTACCTGTTTCTCATGTAATAGGTGAGTAGCATAGTGAGTAGCCATTGGTTCTTACAGCATTTGTATTCACCTCAACTTTATAGCCACACATGCATGCCAAACTGAGGGTGAGGGGTTTGACAAAAGGGCAAGCTGGATAAACAAGGACTGAGCCTGACTGTCTGAACAAATAACAAGCATGGCTATGGATGCCATGTGCTGAAATGCTCTCCCTCCCCCTCTCTTAAATCCACCATAAGCTCAAGGGGAGTGATGATCCAGCAGCCAAGAACACAGAGAGCGGGGAATGAACTTTGGTTTATTCGCTCCTTAAACATTTCATATGTAATTAAATGAAATTGTAAATAGTATTTGTAAAAACATGAAATTATATATTTGTATTTATAAGTAAATACTCTTCCTGCTAGTGTACCTGCTATACTTTTGCACTGTAAGAAAGCCACATACCGTAGATCCAAACATGCTCTTTTTTTATTAACTGCTGGTTATGAATTACGTTGTTTTTGTATGGATTAAAAGAACATTTTACATGGATGATATCGAACAAGCTTTTTTGGTCAGTACTTTTTAAATGAAAAACCTTTAGCAAAGGTTGCAGATATAATCGATTAACTATAAATCAAATGCTTGATTTCAAGGCCCAAGCGCAAGATAAAAAATAAATTAAGTTTGTTTTTTTCTTAAATTTTTCCCTTACTTATGTTGAATCCCTTTAGTGATTAAATGTCTTTATAGCAAGTTACTTTTTGATAAAAAAGTAACTGCTCTTGCTGTTTTCTTTAGGGGGTGAGGGTTTGTGTCACACTCACACCTGAACATCTGCTTCCTCAGACTTGCGGAGAACAGTAAAAGAGACTATTGAATTCCTAATGGAAAAAGCCCTGAGTACAGCCCTCTGGGAAATAAAAGAAGTGAGTTTAAACTAAGACAAATTAAACCACCTTTTGCGTTAAACCTTTTCATCATAGTTGCTGAAACTATCACTTTTTTTGGACAGTAAGAAATGATTCAAATAATATATTTAAAAGTCAAGTTATCTGTCTCCTCCTAGTTCTCCTAATATTATTTCCAAGATTCAAACCCAACGAAAGAAAACCAACCAATCAGAGCCGAGGAGACTATCACAGACAGAATCACTGCTCATGAACTATCAAACTGCGTTGGTCAGATATGATTATGAATCAAGATTATTTTAGTGCATTGGCCATTTATTGCCTGAAATGTTTTCAGAAACATATTTTGGTATACTTATTAGCTGTAAAACAGGAAAGTTTGCTCTGACTGTTGGACGGTGCTTAGTTTTGGCTTGACTGTTAACAACATTTCGTCTGGTTCACAATTCATTTGACAGCATCTGATAATGCACAACTGTCAGGATATAGTGACAGTTTGAGAAAAAAAAATATATATATATCAAAATGAACCAATTGAAACTTTATTCACCAAAATTGTTAACTTATTCTGAAATAATTCCCATCTATGTGTTTTGTGTCTAAGACACTAGTGCCAACCGGTGCCAACCTGTATGAATCCCTTTCTCACACATGTACACTATCATCGCCTCCAAGTGCCAAACAAAACAAGAAACCTTTTTTATTGTGTCCTGTTGTCAGAGAGGGCTGGCTTAAATCAACAGGAATCATTTGGCAAGAAACCGTCTGTGCATAGGTGTGAAAATGTCCCTGCCTGCCTGGTGAAGGGAAAACAAGGGTGTTCAGGTTTGCTATAGTGTTACTTCTCTGGAGCCGCCGTTGCTTTGTGCCAAGTTGGAATCCCCCGAGCCATGCATGGCTGAAACTCAACCTTCTCTGCGGTGATGTCATGAAGTAGATGGGTGTTGGAGAAAGTTGATCCCCTTGCCTCAGAGCGAAGCTTTGGGCTAGAAGCAAGAAGTTTGAGGATTGCACGCACAGTTACTACGAGTGCAATTAAACATGATCAATTTATTAGCCTCTCTAGGTTGCAGTATAATTACTGACACATATAGCAAAGCCTTACTGTCTCTCTTATATCTCCTGTCCCGTCGGACAAGTTGATGTTTGTCTTTCTTGTATCCTTATGTGAGGTTAAATAAAGAAACGTTGTAATAACAGACAAGTGAGAGTGATTAAAGGTAGAAACAGATACTCCAAGGGGCAAAAACACATAAATCTCCCTTCTTTCACTCCCCCCGCCTTCACCCTCCTTCCCTCTCTCCACCCAGATGAATGGGGGGAATGCGAGTGAGTCAGTGGAGCGGTGCTGGGCCTAGGCATAGTGACAGACAGTCTCCTGTGTGCTGCTCACTTCAAAGCACCTCTGAAACCTGACTAGCTCCTTGTAAACAGTGCCGCCTGGCCCGAAGGCCCACTTCCTGCGCTTAACTCAACTTAATGGTTGGCTTGTTTGGTTTTTCACCGAAGCAGAGAAACGAATGAAGAGCAAGAGAATGAAGTGAAGCGGCATGGGGTGGAGTGCTGCAGCAAGGGAGTGAGATTGTTTAAGGGTTTAGGGGAGGAGGGGTTTGGAGAGCATAATGGAAAATTCACTATTATTTGGTTGCTTTTGTCTTTCTCCAAGAAAAAAGAAAGGGAAGCAAAGCAGAATCCAAATTAGGATAAATTACTGTGATATTTCCACTGAAACCTTGGATCTCAGATCATTAAAACTAAATGAAATCAGATGAAAAAGTTTTCTCTCAGTAAATCTTCATGTGTTCTGGGAAAGTATTACCAACGTTGCCTATTGGCCTTAATTGTGGAGAACAAGTCATTTTGGTTATAAAGGAAAACACTGTGAAACCTTCTCAACCTGTTAATATTTACTGGTAGTTGTCTGGAGTAGACCCCTTTCTCTTAAAAAAACGGTGCCCAGTTTTTCAGGAGCAGCCGTCTACCATGTTGTTGATCTCAGATCTTAAATCTTGCATGCAGCCGCTTCCTGCTTGCTCGAAGGCAAGAAGGGACAAGCCACGGAACGGGGGTAAGACAGGAAGAATGCTCCTGGAGTTGATATTATGGTGTCGCTCTTATTGGGAGAAGGGATAGTGTGAAAGCCTTGGCATGTCAGAAAAAGATCATGTTGTTAGTCACTAGCGCCACTGTTCTCATTTTTGCTGCCGAACCATTGTCTAAGTATGTGTTAACGTACCATTAACTTATTTCTTTGCTGAGATTTATATCAGGCCTATGAACTGGCTTAAAAAGGACAAAGGAAATCAGGATGGGGGGAAAAAGGAAAAAAAAGGAAAAATACCCAGACATGTAGTAAGCCTGTTTCTAATCAAATCTTGGCACAAACACAAGAAGAACTCCTGCTCTGAAGGCTAACACTGGATTAGTTGCAGTCATACATTATCCTAACCATAGGAGAGCAGCTGAGATTTTCCAGAGCACATACTATATCTATCTGTCTCGCTCCCACCTTGAAATCTCAACAGAAAGTTTAATATGTTCTTTCTCCGTCTATCATTGCTCTCAGAGGCGGCCACTGTGAGTGGGATGGAGCGTAACAAGTTGGCAGGAGACTGAACATTTATCTTGCGTCCACTAGAAGCCCTTTTTTTAGTTTACAGCCTGCTTCACTCTTGTTGAGTTTAAAGCCCTATTTTTTCACTGAAAAAAAATATGATCCCAATGTAGTTTTGATGTTGAAGAACGACATTGCTTGGCGAAAACTAACCAAAGAAAATCCAACCTAAAAATGTGTTTTGTGTAGATATCGCTTGGATTATTGGTCCTGCTGGTCTCTTTAAGGCTTGATAAATGCCTCTCATACCTTATTTCGTAAATAAACAGCCATGTTTTGGCCTTGCAGTAGTGAGCAAAAGCATTACAAATAGTGGAAAGAAGTTTTGCATACAGAGCTTCCAAACTTTGGTGCATACATTTCATGCCTCATGACATGCATTTGTCTGGGATTGTATGTCTCATAAGTGCAGGGATCACTCACTTCTTGCTTTGAAAAGAAAACAAACACATTATGGACCAACTGTGATACAAGGAGACTTCCCCCCCTCTGGCCTTCAGGGCGAGGTAAAACTGTATCAGGGTAAACGTGAGGGAGTGCCTCGGAGCCTCTCCAGCTGCTGAGCGAGAGGTGCTGACAGCTGCGTGACAGATATTTTGAGAGCCTGCAGCACGCCTGGGATAATAATGGGCTTGATTGGGAGGAGTATGTGTGAAGGGAAGGGAATGGTTAATGTGTACTCAGACACCACAGTGTGTACACAAACCGTGCCACTCTCATAAACCTTCGGGTGATGGTGCAAGTAGCAAATGACAACATGTGGAGGAATGATGTTCTAAGCTACTGTGGCATCTCTTTCTAACTTTTTATATTTATTAAGTTGCACATTTTGAGCTGAGCAGGCATATAAACTAGATTTACCAGTAGGCCTAAACATAATAGTGTCAGAGTATTATGTCTAAGAACCACAGATACAGTATTGTTATGCCTCCTGTTTAAAATGTTGGTTTAACAATATGTGTGCTATACTGAGATGGATCATTTTTCAGAGTATGAATACACTGATAGCCCAAAGCAGTGATGTGTCGTGTTTCATCCCTTGTCTTTTAATGCATCTAGAGTATGTTGTCCTCTACTTAGTACTACAGATAAAGACTTGTAGTGAAATAATGAGACCTTTGTTGACATTTATTTTTGAAACTCTTCTAATTTCCTGTTCGATTATGTTGTTGAATACTTCAATGAAAAATCTGAGTTGTTAGATATTATTTTGGCTACTAAACAAAGCAACTTTTTGATGCGTAATTGTCAGTACAGTAGGTGTAAGTAAAACGTTGCAATTTCTTCAAATAATAATGGGCCAATTGGAGTTTTGTTTCCATGCAGCCAGTCCTTAAAAGCAAGTCTAGAAAGCCACATCAATCAACAGCTGTGCAAGTAATCACTGAGCTTTAAATTGATGAGTCAATGAACCCCCTGCTGATGCATTACAAGGCAGTGAAATTATTCTTAGAGGCCCATTACTGCCAGGATGCAGCATTTTAACCACCTGCATTTCCAGGTAAACAAGGTGTGTTAAATGGAACGACATCGCCCTAATCCAGTCTGTGAAACGTGGCTCTCCCGTGGGCCCCCGTGAGGCCTCAGGCTTTGACGATGACTTATTGAGTCGGCTCCTCTCTGGCGAGCGCCGGCCCCCCCTGCTTTAATGGAGGCGCTCTTAACAGCACTTTCTGAGGAATTTACAGCCCTGGCCCCGACCCACTCCCATCCAGGAGAGAGAGAGCGGAGCACACTGCAGCCTTGTCCCAACAGAGCCAGCAGTGGAAATGTACAGCTTTAGGTAAGGTGTGTGTGCCCATTTGTCCCTGTATATCTGTGTGTGTGTGTGTGTGTGTGTGTGTGTGTGTGTGTGTGTGTGTGTGTGTGTGTGTGTGTGTGTGTGTGTGTGTGTGTGTGTGTGTTTGTGTGTGTGTGTTCACTTGGCTGCATGTGCTTTCTGCGCTTTTGCTCATGAGTGTAAATCTACGTGAATGAGTGAGCGGTTAAAGGAGGGCTCCAGTTCTGTAGGTTCTCTCTGT